CACCGTCCTAATTATTAATATAAAATATGTCACACATCGGCTCCAGTGAAGTTGGTCTTGGGCCGATATAACAAGTGTGATTGCATTCTATGATAGTGGCAACAAGAATAATAATACATAACAGTTGGATTTTTATAGCGCATAATGCAAAAAAGCCTCTATGCGCTTGGTGATTAAGTTCTTTGAATTTGATATTTTGATAGTGGGAATAAAAAATGATCAGACTGGCATGTTTGGCAGTTGGCTCCAAGGAGTTAGTCCGCCCTTAGTTCAACTATTTTTTTTTTTTACCCGCTGGTTGTCCATCCACCCTCCCACCGGTGCCTGCTAATACCACCAAATGAGGTTGTATCCAGGACAAAACATTTTTAGTTGGATGTTGCCATGTCGCGTCATATATGGCGGATACTGGCACTATATAAATGTTCTACTCTCTTCTATGTATTACCCCATTGTTTTGCCATCTCATTGGTTAACTTGGTTTTTGGCAATAATATAAGTAGCTCATACATAAGATGAAATTCTATGCCCCATTTTATGGAGTCTATTTTGAAACTGCGTCGCCAAATTCTTGTAACTTTTCACTGGGGGACTTCCAGCAGCCTAGCAAGGGCAGTTAGCTAGTTACAATGAATAAGCACCGTGCAGCAGATAGCACCGTGCAATGGATGGCGCCGCGAGGCCTACTGTAGACCTTAGATATAGTAGCAGATGAGATATTTTGCTGATTGCTGTAGGCCTATGTAAACATAAAAATAGCTTTTTAACAAGTTGACTGCAAGACCTTCTTTAAGGTTCCTTCCCATGTACTAAAACAAGTTTACATGTACAAACCCCAATTACCCCAAACAAACAAAAAATCTCATTGAATAATCAATCTTAATTGTATTTTTTAATCCATCTGGCAATGTTTTTCCAAAAGACAGGGTAATATTCCACATACAAAATAAATGATTAGTTACCTTTATCAACTTTACAAAAAGTACATAATCCAGACTTTTTATAATGTCATTCCCACTTATCTGGAACTACCAGTAACTAATACCCTATTCAGACTACACTCCGTTGTAATCGGTTGCGATGTAATTGGTGGTAATCCAAAACTATTGCAATTAACGAGTGCATTCAGACCAAATCAGACGTAAAAGAATGAAGGAATGGGAGGTCAAACGGTTCTAGACCTCTGGTGGCTAGGCTTGTTTAGACTGACCTCAGCCAATCAGTGCCTGCAGAATACATTGTGATTCAATCTAATTGGATTCTGTGGCAATCGGGAGTGATAAAGATTGTTACACCCAATCGCAACAGGTAATAATTGCCTTATCGATACTGTACTTATCCACTAATTTTGGTGAGCTTTCACAAATGGTTGTGAAATAACTCGCTGTTGGTCTGTTGAAATGAAATAAATAAATAAATAAATAAAATGCATTTAACCTTTTTACTAGGTAAGCAGTGTCACAAAACTCGGTCAAAAAAAAGTCAAACATTTTAACCCTTTTGCCATAAGCGTAGTAAGTTTGCTGTTTTTAGCGTGCAATAATCAGTTCATAAAGTAGAGTCAAGCGCTTTAATAGAAACCAATTCCTCGAAGCTAAATTAGCTTTTACTAAATTATTAGCTTATTAGCAAATGAAGAGCCTTAATTGTCATTATTCAGGATTTGAAAAAACTACTCAGCATACAATAGGAGTTCAAGATTGAAATTGACATTCTATATTTATTAAAGTAGATTTTGTATTCGGCCGTTTAAATGTTGTGTAAAAAAAAATTATTTTTGTACTTACTGTACAGAAAATTATGCCAGTGCCTACTGAATATATTGAGTGGGTGGAGAAAGAGCATCTTGTCCAAAGGCCATCCTGAACCAGGATTTTGTTTATCTGAAGGCTGGCACCTTCTGTCTGTGTCAGCAGTTTTCGTTTGCAAAATTTTAATTCATTGTTTATAGTGCAATTGATGAAAAGCTAGTGATTGGCATTTTGTGTGCGCTGAACCGTGGAGATCTTTGTTGCCACGTTCACAAATGTTTTTTAGACAAGTAGTCCCATTCCCTTCCCCTTCCCCTTCTCTTATCATCAACTGTCTGGTTTTCTTCATAGTTACCAACCTGAGAGATTTGAAATGCATGACTATACACCAGTTGGCTTGGGGGATGGGGGCCACCAGGGCTCCCGGGGCTCAGGGATTCAGTCAAATATTATCAACGGTTGGTTGTGACAATGAACACACCAAGTGCGTGGTTGGCTGGGTTGTTTTTGTCAAGAAAGAGAAATTTTCTCGGTGAATAGATTCTCAAATGAGATAACGAAAGCGTTCTAATGACTCAAGTTACTGCATGACTGCTTTTATATTTTTAATAAAACAATTTTCTTATAATTTTAAATACATTTTCCCCTGAATTTGTGATAATTCGTTATCATGCATAAATTTGTGCTAAATGCGTGATAAATTTTTTTCTGCAAAATGCATGTTTCATCCAAAATCACTTTAAAATGCGAGACCGTCCCACATGATGCGAGACAGTTGAATGATTTTGATTATTGATGTTTAATATTATTATTGTTAATTTTTAGTACCTATGCATGTAATGCAATAGGAACTATTGTAATCACTCTTCACATTTCCTTTGTTTTTTATTGTGTGTAGTATGTGTGTGCGTGTGTCTGTAGACATTTATGCAAATGCGTATGCGTCAAAGAAAAGTTTTCCGACATTTTGGTTTACCTCGTGATGCGAAGTTCGATGCAGAGTTCAGTCAGGGCTCACCCTAACCGATCGGCAAGTCGGCATGGATGAAACTATTTTGGTTTTACGGCAAAAAAAAATCAACTGCTGTGGCATAGGTATTTTGAAGAAGGCTTAAAATAAAACAAAAAGGTTTTAATACTTGCTGAAATACATCATTTTTTCATTTAGATCTCCATTTTTCACTAACTCCATGCAACATTTTATTCTGTTGTATGAGTAGTAATGAAGGTACTATATCCTCGACAGTTGGCTATGCAGCAGTGTACCCTTTGAATGCAAATTGAAGACAAGTGAAGATATAAAGGCAGCCGACTGTCGGGTACATAACGACTATCTAACTTTCCACCATAGAGATATAATAAGAATACTAGAGCACTAACTGCAATGTATTAAATGTTCAAAATACGCAGAGCTGTGTGTGTGTACCATCCAAGATGGCAGCCATAGATTCAGCCAATCAAATTTCGCCTAAGCACCGTCGTTTGCAATTGCGCCCTCACTTTAAACAGAAAGTTCAGTACATCTAGCTACCCGTATGTTTGAAACTCGAGCGTTGCGGTGTATGGGTGTAATCTACACGATTTTAATTTTCATCCCTTGGTACTTTATTTTTGAATAGGATGCTCCACTTGGCCTCGTTTTGGCTACGATAGTTTATTAATTTGTTATTATCGTTATCATTAATGAAATAATAGTCAGTAATAATATGTATACTAAGCCTGAAGGTGGCGCTTTACTACGACGGCCATCTTGGATGGTACACATACATAACTCTGCATTGCTCCCGCCATCTTGTCAGCACTCTAGTTCACAAAAACATTAGGCCTAGTTCAGTACAGTAGTTACTGCGATGCGAGGGTGGTAGATCGTTCAGTCAGTGATATCGTGTTATCGTCTAATACATTTTAATAATGTGTGTAAAATTTAAGAATGCACCGCGTGGGTCGCTTTCTTTGTTATGCGGTAGTAGTGTACGTAGCAGAGTGACAGCAGCAATCTAAGCCTAGCCTAGGGCCTAGATAGTATACGTTCTTGATCATCGTAATGAAAACTTCGGGTGGGGCCAACTGGTGTGGACGATTGGACCCAAGATAGCTTCAAATGAATTGTAGTCCTAGTAGGCCACTGCATATCATATAATTTACTTTAAAATGACAATTAAATGAACTCAGTCGGGTGTCTGGAAGCAAAGTTATGACCATGAATAATTGTCATCTTATCAACTTTCTTAAATCTTTCTTTCTTAAAAACTCAAACTTCAGGAATAATAAGATTAATAATTATACTTTATTTATTACACAAAAACCCAATTCACACAAAATTCACATTCTACGCACTATTCTGGGTATTGAGGCTTGTTTCTCAATACAGTGCAGTGCGAGTTTACAGCCCGTTTGTGAGCTTGGGTCACATATGGAAAAAATATTATTTTTAGCTTCCGTACGTGCTGCGCGCATAAGAATTGCGTGCACGTAGCGGAAAATGCCAAATTTTGAAATGCTCAAAATGGCCTGAAACGTGCTCTAATTTAGACAAAAAGTGATTTTGAGCATTTTAAAATTTTGGGGCACACACAAAATATTTCGGTATGTGACATTCAAAGTTTATTCCCACTGAATATGATTTAGAAATGACAATTGATTAGGAAGATAATGATTAATAATGTAAAAACGCAAAATTGTGTGTAGATGACATCACGCATGACTGACCACATTGAAAACCTTATTGTAACTATTCCAGGCCAAGCCAAAATGTAGCTCATGCCAATTTTGAGATCGTGCTAACAAGAAATTGAGAGAAAGCTGGAATTAAAAAAAAGTTGATGATGATCTATGATAATAACAAGAGGTGATCCGCTCTTGAAGCGGATCACCAATGATTGAATTGAATTCCCTTCTTCCTCAGAGAAGGTTGTTGTATTAAAATGTTATGTTCTTGTATGCATTAGGTTTTCATTTATATTATGACATTTAAATGCAATCAAATAACCTATATTGGCAATTTTATTAAGTATCAAATATATTAAAAACCATCTGCTACCATGGTAACCATGATAATTTTTAAAATAGCAGTGAGTTATTGGTATCTTCTTATAATTTAATTATTCTCTTTTGTGCTTTCAGTTTTATATTTTGACCTCTCAAAAGCTATAAGTAAAGTACTGTATATACTTAATCTATTAGTGTCCTTGCAAAGCAAATTAATTACTTTACATTTCATATTGGTTTAAATTGTATTATCTGTCTTAGGAATGGTTGATAGTAACTGGTCTGTATCTGGTGTCTTAGAGAAGAAGCTTCTACCGATGCCGTTCACTTTCGTTATTAGTGGGATGATGAATCACTGGAAGAACAAAAGTCGCTTTGGGTTTGGACTGATGATCGGTTAGCAGCTTGTGTTTATCCTTATGTACGATAGATTAATTTTAAACAAATCCACAAATGTTTTCTATTCAAGTAATCTGACCCCTCCTCTCTTAATGGTGTGTGTCGATATTGCAGGTATTACAAAATGATTAACCATATTATTTTACACATTGTCATCTTTATAATATAATCATATTGAAGTTGCCAGACTATGAAATTGAAAGATGACGAGGATAATGATTATGATTATAGTGATGTTGATCGTAATTGTGGCCGTGAACAATGTTGGTAGTTGTGGTGATGATGGTAGTATGATATTGGTACTGTATTAATGTTTGTGTTTATGGTTATGGTTGGGGTGATTGTAATGCTAATGGTTTTACTAGCGATGGTAGTGGTGTTGATGGTGGTCGTCATGTTGATGATAATGGTAGTGGGATAATAGTGCTAATTAGTGGTATGTTAGTGATGGTATGATGGTGGTGATGATGTTGACAATGGTAGTTGTATTGGTTTAGGCGATGACAACAACAGTGATGATAATGATGATGATAATGTGGAAAATTAAGTCTATTGATTTCAATTTTTTTATTGCCCAGTTTTTTCTGAAAGTTAAAACATTTCCATGAGTTCTGAAAAGCTTTCAGTTAAACTGCACATACAGATATGACATAAATGCTGGTAGACTTCTATGCAAGTTACTGTTAACAAAAGCCATTGATTTTCTTTATTGAAAGCACAGTAAATTAATCTATTTTGACCAGCATATTATTAATAATTGTACCAGTTTCTGTTCACCCAATGTAGCACTGTTGACTGATCATTGGACTGTTTTCTTTGGTTAAATACTACCGAACAATGGGGACATCTATTTAAAGGTACACTGTATGTGAAAGCTAATGTAATTAATAACATTCAGTGTTTTGATTGACAGTATTTTGTGCCAGGTTTTATCACATATTGTTATTCTTGAAACTTGCCCAAGTATTGGGGTCTATTTACACAGATTGAGTACTATTCAGTTTTTTCAGAAATGGATATTTACATTTGTATGCTGCGACACATGCCACTGTTTTATAATGAGGTGCCTTGCCATCACTCAACCTTCTTAAATCATCGCTACTAATGTGTGTATCAAACAATAACATGAATGTATTCATATAAATTATTTCCATGAAAGAATATTTGAATATGCAATAAAAATATATATGTGGAGAAGACGAGCCATACCAGGCAGTCCTGTGAATTGTGTTTCAGAGATAATGGCCAAAATATGTTGGAAGGTCAAAATTTTCAATATGTATTTTATTGCACTAAACTAAACTTTGTAAATTTAACATCATGCTATGTTGATATTTCCTAATTTTCAACGTTAAAACAATATTTTGTAATGATTTGGTGATGGTCTCTGCCTGAGAAAATGGCTGAAAATGTAAACTGTAAAGGCTGATTTCTTAAATACTGTTCTTTAACAGCTGTATTTTTAAACTCTTGTAACTTCATAATGAAATGACAGATTTAGATGATACTTTGACCTTTTTATAACTTTCATTTTACTGCTTAATGCTGTATTTGATTTTTTGTTTTTGTTTGTAAGGAGTGTCTTTGCCACATATGTTGTTTGTAGGCAGGTAATATATTATTATACACAAGTGTTAATATTACAAGACACATCTCAAAGGACTTCACTTAATTTCCTGGTCAATGGAATGTAGCAATCATACACAATAAATAGGCAACCTTTTTCCGCTTCCCTATGGATTGCCCTTCCATGAATAATCATTATCATTCCATTTTTCCCTTGAGCATTTGAGTCTCTTTCCTCTGTCACTAACTCTGCTCAGATTAACTGTCATCTTTGAACACAATCCATCTATTGCTTTCTAGGTCTTCCTCCCTTCCATTTGCCCATCTCTGCATGCTCTGCTGCCCATTTGAATGAATTGTCCTCTACAGCTTTTCTTGTTCCTTTCATGAATATTAAGCAGTGGCGGATCCAGAAATTCAAAATAAATGAAGTTGGGGGGAGGGGGGAGATTTTCTGAGATGGAGTATCTACACCACCTCAGCTTTATCATGGTTGGGGCTGAGGTAAAAAAAGTTATGATTAGGTGATGATGGTGGTATGATATTGGTACTGAACTAATGTTTGTGTTTATGGTTATAGTGGGGTGAATGTAATGCTAATGGTCTTACTAGCGATGGTAGTGGTGTTGATGATGGTCGTCATGTTGATGATAATGGTAGTGAGATAATAGTGGTAATTAGTGGTATGTTAGTGCTGATGATGTTGAAAATGGTAGTTGTATTTGTTTTGCGATGACAACAAGTGATGATCATCGAAGAATTTCATCTGGTTCTGTAAAATTATAGCTGGATTATTTTTTCATTTTGTTTTATCACATATAGTTATCCTTTAAATTTGCCCAAGTATTGGGGTCTATTTATCCAGATTGAGTACTGTTCAGTTTTTTTCAGAAATGGATATTTACATTTGTATGCTATGACACATGCCAATGTTTTATAATGTGATGCCTTTTGCTTCATTAATCATTTCTCAATCCATCACTCAACCTTCTTAAATCATCGCTACTAATGTGTGTATCAAACAATAACATGAATATATTCATTTAACTTATTTCCATGAAAGAATATTTGAATATGCAATAAAAATATGTATGTGGAGAAGACAAGCCATACCAGGCAGTCATCCGAATTGTGTTTCAGAGATAATGGCCAAAATATGTTGGAAGGTCAAAATTTTCAAAATATATTTTACTGCACTAAACTAAACTTTGTAAATTTAACATCATGTTATGTTGATATTTCCCAATTTTTCGAAGTTAATACAATATTTTGTAATGATTTGGTGATGGTCTCTGTCTGAGAAATGGCTGAAAACATACTGTAAACTGTTAAGGCTCAAATACTGTTCTTTAACAGCTGTATTTTTAAACTCTTGTAACTTCATAATGAAATGACAGATTTAGATGATTCTTTTACCATGTTTTAACTTTCATTTTACTGCTTTATGCTGTATTAGATTTTTTGTTTTTGTTTGTGAGGAGTGTCTGCCACATGTTGTTTGTATGCAGGTTACCTTTTACACACAAGTGTTAATTAAGACACATAACATCTCAAAGGGCTTCAACTTAATTTCCTGGTCAATGGAATGTAGCAATCATACACAATAAATAGGCAACCTTTTACCGCTTCCCTGTGGATTGCCCTTCGATGTGGATTGCCCTTCCATGAATAATCATCATCATTCCATTTTTCCCTCGAGCATTCGGGTCTCTTTCCTCTGTCACCAACTCTGCTCAGATTAACTGTCATCTTTGGACACAATCCATGTATTGCTTTCTAGGTCTTCCTCCCTTTCATTTGCCCTTCTCTGCATGCTCTGCTGCCCATCTGAACGATTTTGTCCTCTTTTCTTGTTCCTTTCATGAATATTAAGCAGTGGCAGATCCAGGAATTCAAAATAAAAGAGGTCAAGGGGGGGGGGAGGGGAAATTTTCTGAGATGGATTGTCTACACCACCTCAGCTTTATCCTGGTTGGGGCTGAGGTAAAAAAAGTTATGATTAGGGTACCTCTAGATGGCTGGAAATTGCTCACTCAGACTTAAATTTGAAGTACAGTATGATTTTATTTAAGATGGGGAAGCCCCTCACTCCCAGAATCGGCCACTGTTCAGTATTATTCAAGTAAATTCAACTATACATCCTGTATGTTTGCATTCCAGAACACAATTAATATCATGCATAAATAATTTGAGATTTGGACCCAAACCATATGGTTAAACGCCTGTAGTGCAACCACAGCTGCATCCATTCCCACATGCCTGCTTTTTGTAATACTTATATTCTGATTAATAATACTGAACCATGCTAATATTAAAGGTCTCCATAGCAACATTTGTTGTTGAGATCAAAAGAATACTCTAGGGTACTTTTATACACTTGATATTTTTTATTGCTGTTTAATAATGCAATAATTTATATCTAATTAGGACTTCCATGCTGTATGTGTAATTGCAGTAACTTCATAGCAGCAGCAGAAATGTATAAGTAAGGTTCTGGTTGTGGTGGCTAAGGCTGGCCTCCAAAATTGTAGGGTCATAACAGAGAGGTAGAAATAGGGTTGAATGATAGGACGGTCCACCGCTGCAGTTTAAGGTGCGCAGCGCGAGTTACGAGCAGGCTAACTGTACCTCCTCAGACCCCATTACATGGACCTGATAGGTTGGAAACCTAAACCACATTTGGTAGTAAAATTTCGGAGTGTTTAGAGTAAGCAAAAATTACAATTCCAAGGAAAGAAGCGAGAAAATTAGGATGTTAAATTAGTACAGTAAAGTTAACATGTTTGATCATATTTTGTTGTGTTGTGTTTTTTTTTTAATACTATATTCTATCGTTTTGTTTTACTGGTCATGTTTTATAACAATATTTAATTTCAATCTGTTAAAAGCAGGGGTGAATCCAGTTAGGGGTGGGGGGAGGAGGACATGGACACGTTTCCTCTACTCAATTATCTTCACGTATCTATTCTGAAACTGTTGTGTCCTCCCTGTTCAAAAAATTCTGGATTTACCCCGTAAAAGAGCATGTAAATTCACAACAGATGCATAAGGAGTGTATTCTCATGCCTACCGCAACACATTATTGAAAATGATGAAGTCTTGCATGATGCACTTAAATTATGGAAACGTATTTCATGTGTCTCATGTATTTGTATTTCTTTGTTTGCTCGCATTAAAACAATTTTATCTGCTGTGCATTTTAGGCTGGGCACTCACTCAGCCATACAACGGTCTTACAATGAATCGAACTCCGCACCCTGTGAGCACTAGATGACGTGACACACTCTGCTGATTGTTGGTGGTAGAGCGTGTGTCGTTGTGTTGCATTTGCCAAAGAATCTTGGCAGCTAACAACCGTTGGGCTTAGCGAGTGCTCAGCTTTAACAGTGATTTGTTGTCATTTTGTGTATCACCACTTATTCAAGTAGTGCGGCTTTATCGGATTAAAAGGTATTTAAAATCCTTGCAGAATTAAAACAGATTCTGATTTCAAAGTACCTGCTTATTATTGCATTTAAATTTTATCACTATCACAGGCTTGTAACTATTCTGAGAGTGACCCTCTAGTAAGCTACCACTCTCTCGTCTTGCATCAAAATGATGATGAAATTCACCAGGGGGCTAACAAGGGCTCTTCCTCTTCTTCCTCCAACCAGGTTACAAACTTGCATGATGCCTTGGTGTGGAGAAAGTTCTTTGTGTTTTTTATTCTGATGCACATAAAATGTATTTGTTTGGTATATACTGTACAAAGCAGTGGCGGATTCGGGGGATGGGGAGGGTGGGCTAGTGCCTTCCACCTGAATTTTTCAAAATTACCAAAATAAATAGAAAACAAATATAAAATCAAGTATATCCATCTAGTGGTGCTATAATTTAAATTTTTCTTACCTGGGGCTGAGGTGGCCTCCCTAGCCCCCCCCCCCCAAAAGCCTCCCTCTACCTGTATCCGCCACTGATAAGAAACCTGTATAAGATGACAAGCACAAACAAATTATAAGTAGTATCAACCAAGTAATCAAGTTTCCGGTCAAAAATTGTACACTGGGTCAATTTTAAAAACCAAAAGGAAGTATCAATCCATTGTAGTCCATTTCGAGGAAATGCTATCGAATAATATAGATTAGATTTATATGAACCAATGTACCACTGCAACCTTGAACAGAATTGATCCCACGGATCACAATTAGCACAACAATTCTCAGTGCTACTGTACAATACTGTAGCCGTGTCTTGTTATCAATATCCATTTTACATTGGTTGAAATATATTGGTTTATAAGTTTTGTTTTTGAAAACATAAAACATTGAGAAATACGAAAATATATAAACTACAGATATCTGGAATAAAAAATTCACTCTTCGGTTTAAAGATGTATTTTCTGATCTACAAAATTGAAAATTTTGATCCCGTATTTGAATTGCCTAATTTGAGGCATGTTTGTGGCAAAATGGTTAAGTTGTCGCACAGTCCAGTATTGAGTAAATGAGCTATAAAATATGGGAGCTAAAAAAATTGCTAAAAAATCCAAATTTGTTTTTCACAATAGATTAACAGTTTAATGTCTTATTAATCATGTCCCAAAGTATTAGTTCTAGAAGTGGTTAACAAATTGTTTATTTAATGTTATTTTTCATAGTTCATTCTATTAAACAATGTATGCACAAATAACTTTGAAAGGCAATTACTCAAAATCATGTTTATCTTGACTCTAAGAGTACCGTACTGTACATTCACTTTCCAATAACTTAGGCTTGAAATGTCCAATTTCAATGAGTGACCCCTTATTTTAAAGATCACATACTCAGGTATTTGAAAATACCAATAACTTGAATTTCAATTTTTGCTACAACTTATCCATTTTGCCACAATATGCCTCATTCGTTAAGTAGAAATATTTCTTCAATAATATACATTTCCTGTGTAAATTGGCTGTTAACTACATCTTTAAATGTAACCATTTAATTTTTAATTGCATGTTAGCATCTGTTTTTATCTTAGGATGTTTTAATACTCAGCATTAATATGTGTCTTTAAGACAAGTTTATTTTTTTAAATGTTATCAGTAAATTCCTTGTGGCCATTGACGTCATCGTCGTTACTTTCTTTAATGCTGTAGTATTGAATTCTTAGAGCATCCTTTCCCTGGCTAATAACTTGACTTGTATATATTGTCATATTGTTGAGAATTGAAATCTTTTAGAGTGATGTTAAACAATGTTTGTAAACCTAGATATGGTTGATTAAAAACAATGTGAAAATTATTTAGATTACTGTAATTTATTTTTGTGTTTGGACCAAATTAATAGGTAATTTTAAATACAGATGACCACTCACATTTCATACGTCATCACACAAGGTCCCAGCGTTACACCATGGTTCAGTGGCAGACAGGAACATCTATGATGTGATAGAATGATGGTGATGATGATGATAATGATGGCTGCAACGGTGACCATACGTCGTCACACAAGGTCCCGGCGTTACACCATGGTTCAGTGGCAGACAGGAACATCTATGATGTGATAGAATGATGGTGATGATGATGGCTGCAACGTGAATTGAAACGTTAGCATTAATATTATTGATTCCTTGAGAAATCTGTTGTTGTTTAATCTGTTGTTTACTATTACTTACCTAAAAGCAAGAAACAAAAGCCAACTCTTGAAAAAAAGTTTGATTGGAGATAAGGAATTGACATTTGTCACACAAGCTAAAATATTGGGAATTATGCTACCAAATGACTTAAAGTGGGATTGAAATGATATCAAAGGCAAATAGGAAATCCTCCTGAGCTTATAGCTTAAAGTAATTTGGTTTCAACACTGAGGAATTAGGCTCAGTTTATTGTGGGTACATTCATAAGACCCGTACTTGCATATGCAGATGTCGTGTGGCACACTGGGTTAACCAAATCTCTTAGTAACAATATTGAATCTGTCCAAAAAAAGAGCCTGTCCCACCATTCTTGGCTGGGACTAGCGACATATGAAGCCCTAAATGCCACTGTAATTTTTCTTTACTTTCTGAAATGAGAACTAAACAGAGTCCTTCACAACTGTCAAAAGATCACAATTACCCACTAGAACCAACATATTTTATAACAGCCCCATACGCTATACAACCCCTTCTTCTCACTTCTTGCAGAATTTACAGATTCTGATTGAAAATAGCTGATAATTGTTGCATTTAAATTTGATCACTATCACAGCTTGTAACCAGGGGCTTCTGGTTTGACTAAACGCCTTCTGAATGGCCCTCTAATAAACCAAACCTCTTCCTCCTCTTGCATCACAACGATCGTATGGTAATTGCATTATCAGTAGCATGACGCCCTTGCAGTATTTCGTTCTACTTTAAAAAAAAGTTAAACCAAGGGAAGTATCAATCCATTGTGGTCCATTTCGAGGAAATTTTACCTTTGTATATCAGATAATATATCAATTGCTGCGGAAACTTGGCTTACGATTTACTGTAGGCCTATTGGTATTGACTCAAAAGAAGCACCTTTACAACCTTCAACCATCACCAGTGGATACGTTGGAAGGGTTACGGTACTCTCTATAAACATGGTTAAAAATAAAACAAAATAAAGTAATGGTAAATGCATTATCAGAAGCATGACGCCCTTGCAGTAAAGAACGTTCTCCTTTTTCGCCCTTAAGTTAACCCAAAAGGAAGTATAAATCCATTGTAGTCCATTTCGATAAAATGCTACCTTTATAATACCAGATAATATATCAATTGCTGCGGAATCTTGGCTTACAATTTATTGGCATTGGCTCAACAGATACGCAACATTGCAACCTTCAACCATGGGGGAATTAGTTTTTTAGCCATCACCAACGGACCAACAAGTCTCTCTGCTTTAACATCAGTTCAATCTCTTTTCATTTTATGAATATCCATTTTAAGTTGGTTGAAATATATTGGTTAATGAATTTTATCTTGGGAAAAATACAACATTTACAAATCCAAAAAGAAGTGTTCTCATATATCACCAGTGGACTGATAATTGATAATTATTTCCTGTGCTACAATATTTGTCTTTTAAGATGGGACCTTATTTTCATCTATATCCATTTTACATTGGTTGAAATATTTTGGTTAATCAATTGTATTTTTAGGAAACAGAACATTTACAAATGTACTTCTGAAAAATAGAAAAAATTTGATCCCATATTTAAATTGCACAATATGTTATTAGTTGTAAACATAGAGTAGAGATATTGCCTTATCAATTACAGACAGTTAAAGTTAAATTATAATACTTTCCTGTATCTGTTTGCATATACAGTAGAACCCCTCTTATGAGACATCCCTATTCATGGGACACCACTATTAAGGGGACACTTTTTTCATGAAACGAGAGAAAATATATATTTTAACACTATGACCAACCCCGATTAAGGGGACACCCCTGTTGAGGGGACAGGGACACTTTCTGAGTGTGCCAAATACTCAAATAACCCCTTATTTGTGGGAAGGACAGGGACACTTTCTGAGTGTGCCAAATACTAAAATAACCCCTTATTTGTGGGACACTTATTTTGGTCCCGAAGATGCCCCCTAAATAAGGGTTCTACTGTACTCTTAAATTAGCTGGCAAGCAATGAAAGTTTTTTTTTTTTGTATTGTGAAATCTATTTTCCGTTTGATCCATGTATGGTTTTTTTTTTTTTTTTTTTTTTTTTTTTTTTGGCCCAGTACATCTTTATATGTATGCGGGTCTTCAGGGCCTTAGTGGAGTAACGTCCCTACCCCGTGATGCATAATTTGATTAGGGTTGGTT